TTTATTATAAAGTTGTTGGCATCAACCGCAGTGGCAAAACCAACTTTGGCTTTGCCATTGTTGATGGTTTTGATATTAATCAAACCATCGTTTTCTTTTATGGGACTACAATTTTTATTGCTATTCTCAAAACTGCCTCTATTGGGAGGCTTGTTTTTAGAAGGAGCGATCGGAGACTTTGAGGAGGTGGTATTGAAATCCTCAGTCAAGTCTTTTACGGATGAATTATTCTTATCAGTGATGATCTTTTTGAGGCTATCATTCTGCTTTGCGATTTTTCTTTTAAATGAACCCTTGCAATGCGTGGTTGGAACAAAATTTTCGAAATCATCATCGTTTGATAACATGCTTGAGAGCTTCTCCCCCTTGAGGGGCGGGCGACTTTTAGGTTTCGTTCTAGATTAAAGGCAAAAGAAAAGAATCAACTGACTTACCGAGAACAGAAAGGATATGGAAATCAGCAGGTTTTGGTGAAACCGACAGAGGCAGAGACGACAAAAAGCCTTGTAAGTTGAACAGGTTTAACAATTTCACGTAAATCTCCGCCACTTGATGTCTAATGTACTGGTGAGATGACGAAGTAAGTCTTGTCGGGATGAGGTTAAAGACAGCAGGTGGTGCTGCGCACTCTGCGGAGAAGCACAAGGACGTCGAGACTTTTGTTGAATTTGTTTAAATGCCGCAACTGCACTATATATCTTTTCATTAGTTCAATAGTTTTCAGAAGCAAAAGTTTATGAAAGAAAAAAAATAAATTTTTCTTTCTTTTTTTTTTTGAAAATTTTTCAAAAATCTTCTACACGGAAAAAAGAAACGTCTTGTTTCTTGCATGGTTGCCAGGTTTATGTGTTTACTTGACATAATGAAAGTTTTCATAATAAATCAATAATAATTGTTTAGTTGAAAAAAAATTTTTTTTTCTTATTTTGCTGCGATATATTATAAAGTAACAATTTGCTTTGATTGACGTACGAAACACCACTCCCTTCTATTATCCACAACCAACTACCGAAATATTGGGAAATCATACTGACGGACTTGGGACTTTTCTTGTTTTCATAATTCTCTCTCGCATAATAACGTTATTTAGAGAGAGAGAGAGAGAAAGAGAGAGGTATGAATAGAGGTTTTTTGATAACGGTAGTCCTTTTACCTACTCTATTGGGACAAAGCAGACCGACATAACCCCTACCTTCAAATGCACGCGAACGTTACAAGGCGCAACTAATGACCGATAAGTTTTCATTTCAATCTCATTGACAGGGTTTAATGTATGTTGCTAACCCAGACCAATTTACCTTTCGTTCGCACTAGCTTGCGAAGAATAAAAAGCAATAAAGATGTGGTGAGCACCATAATCCTCTAGCAAGAACTTTAACATTGAAGACTTAAATTGAGCTCCATTGTCAGACGTAGTTGACACAGGTACACAAACATTTGAAACACACGTTTTTCCAAAAAAGCAACTACATTTTGGGCATTGAACTTTTTGATTTGTTGAAAGTGAAATTTCAACAAATGATCGAGAACAATAATAACGCCAATATGAAGATGATCAGAGATAAGCACTTAATAAATGGAGATATAATATTTGAAAAGGGCGAACAGAAATTGTTGGTTGACCCATAGGTGGTCTAAGAATTTGTTTCAGTACTCTCGTCTGCTTATAGACATCGCATGTGGAAACAAACCCTGAACTTTCCGCTCCATGCGCTCTTGAGCCCGCTTAATGAAGGTATTGGTAAGATCTGTGGGAACCAACAATTTGCATGAATTTTTTGCCTGTATTGCCTTTTCTGTAGAGTACTCAGATGACCTGCAAATAAAACCGTCTCGAATCTCTATATGAGATAACTATTCCAGCTAGGATTGAGAACGGGCTCCTAAAGAAACATGTTGAATTAAAACGCTTTGGAAGTCAAACTACTTCGATGGAGTCGCTTCTAAAACCCACTTATCCAGGTCTCAACTATTAATCTCTTTGAGATCTTCGAAGTGACCGCGAGACAAAGAATTGGGTAGAACATGTTGAATATCTTTTTGATGCTAAGTTGAGAAGTCACAGCCTTGTAATTTCAATGAACATCTAGCCGATCGGCCGTAAAGGTAGTTTTGAAACATTAACCACATGATAGAAGCGTGATCCGTAATAACTTCAAACTCATGTCTTTCCGCATAGGCTTAGGAATTTTTAACACCCAAAATGGCTGCTAAACTTGCTTACTCAGATGCGGATTAATGATCACTAGTAAGTTTATAAAACATATAGGTAGTAGGAGACTCATCTCCATTTTCTTTCTTTTGAGCTAGTACACTACCAACTCCAAATGGGCTTGCACCACATTGCATCGAAAACGGTCGCGCAAAATTTGCATTATGTAAAAAAGGCGCAGAAAATGATTATTCTCTAAAATTTTCAAAAAAAAATTCTGATTTCTCTGACTATGCAAAAGTCTTCTTTTTCTTTAACATAGCATTCAGGGGGTGGACGAAGATGCGAAATTGTGCACAAAACGTCGATACCAAAAGCGAACCCCTAAGAATCTTCGTAACTAGCAACGACCTATAATATCTCCCAGGGATATAATCTCCTCACATTAATAGTTAAAATGATTTTCCGTACACAGAAAACAATTCCAGACAATGTTTGGAGATGCTCATTAAAGGTCTCAGATATATTTAGCAAATAAAGAGGAAATTGGTGGCGAAGACGAAGTGGAATCACTTTATCTGAACATGTTTTGGGTGCATCGCATAGTCCAAAAAGCTTTGGCCCAAATTGAAGTAATGGGCGACCATGCACTGTAAAGGATGCCTTCCCAGTCTTTGGTAATCTGCTCAATATTAATCAATGGTAATCGATAAGCGCCTTCGACTGTTTCGCGATTCACTTTTCGAGCTTCCAAACATGATCGAACCTTTCCTGGCTTGATAAATAGTGTAACAGGTGAAGCCCACGGTCGATGCTTCTGACTCTACGACTCCTAGAGCGAGCATTCTATCAACTTCGGCAAACAGAAGCGTTTCTACCGCAATTGATACAGCGAAATGTCTCTTTTTGACGGAGTATGCTTCAAGATAGCGCTTACCACACTTTTCGATAAGTTGGGTTGCTCGTCACTCAAATTATGGCGGTGCTACTATAAGATATTTTACTACGCCTAATAAGCGAGGACGTGATTAGTGTTTCACCAAAGAGATTGTTGGGGAGACCAAAAGATCTTTTTACAGGGATTTATAAAAAAAGTAATAGGGTTAGCTTTACCCCGTAAAAGTCAGCCGGCTTCAAAAATACAATAAACTCTTTCCAATGGTATATATTTTCGTGAAAACATCTTTTTGCATAATTGGAGGCAAAATACGAAACAGACGGATCAGCATGAACTAGATCTACCACATCTTGACAAAATAGGCTAACGGAAACAAACGGCCGTACAACATTTCTATAGACATCACAAAGAACAACGGACCGATATTGTCTTTCATTTTTTTGAATAATTTTCCAGAACCGACGTAAACGGTTGGTTAGTTAGTAGTGGTAAAAATCGTGGTCTTAGCAGTGTTATATTCGCGTAAACGAATATGGTAAGCTTTGAAAATGCACATCGGATAGTTGCCGAAAGCATCATCTCTAACTTTGTTTACATATTGAATTAATTCGGATTGATTATGTTTTGGTATTTCTAAGCTCTTATCCGACGCTGTTTATCTCGAAACGTAAAGTAAAAATTTGCTGCATTTAGGGCACTTTTGTTTCAAAATATTTGGTGTTCCACAACCATAGCAAGATATACGCCTCTCTGCTAGGATGTCTTCGAAACCCTGACCGTTCTTCGGGAAATTCCAACGAATCGGTGTTGTAATTTCATCATATCATCTGTCATCGTTTTAAGCTGTTTATTTGACTCAGTTTTTTTCAAAATATTAGGCGATGGCTCATTAATAGTACCAGTTTTTGTATTTGCAGCAATTGAAGCCAAATTATCAATTTTAATTGTATTATTATGAGGGCTACATATTGAACACGATTTGGAATATTGTTTCGAACTGGAATTTTGGAAATTTGTTTTTTTTGGAATTTGTTTTCGAACCATCAGGCGGCACGTCAAGAGGATTGTACGACTTTAACACGTTAGGTTTTAGTAGGAAAATAGCATTTCCAGGATCTGACACTTCTGCAAGCACAAGGCGCAAGGCGAAGATTTAGTTAGATTACACAGGATTAGCGCAATTTTTCAAAAATGCTAGTACAATATCTATACTCGTAGCGATTTGAAATATTACCAAAGTTAATATTAAAAGCACTTTAGTACGAAGAGTCCTATAGACCGACCAAGCGTTTATACGCGTACTTTTAATTTTTATGAATAAGTGCATATTTTTATGTATATATCCAAGCCGATAGCCTTAGATGCTAGTGCTTTTAATAGTTTAGTCTTAGAATTTATTTCTCTGGCGAAATTAATAATAATAATAATAATATATATATATATATATGTATTATATTGTATATGTACAATTTTTTTTTCCTGGAATGGTTGTAATATTCCCCCTTTTTTGTAATATATTATTATTATTGTTACAAATTTAGCCAGAGAATAAATTCTAAGACTAAAGCCGTAAAGCCCTAGCATCTAAGGCTCTCGGCTTTTATTAAAAATCTACCGCACTTGAGATTTGAACCTACGACCATTGGAGATGCTAGTCGACACTCTTGCCTACTCGGCCATTCAGGCGAATTTTTTTGTAATATAATATTAGTAATGGTTTGAATATTATTGTTAAAGGAATGCTTGTCTAATTTTTTAGTTTTGCTAAATTTGATTATTATCATTTTTATTTATTCTAAAGATATTCAAATAAAGAAGATTTAAAGTTGCTTATAGAATATACACAAAATATTAAAAGATTTTTCTTTCGTTATAAGAATAATTGCACAATATATATATATCAAATGGGTGTTTCGTCAATTTTCATGAAATTAGCACTTATAATGCATCATCTGGAAAAACGGTTATATGTTGGGAGATCATCTTGCTTGATAGTTTCATTGCTTTGATATAATATTGCGCATCTGACGTATAGCCGTCACTAAGCGCGGTTCGCATCCTGCACTTAATGCGAGATAATTTTCTGGTTCTGCCTTAAGCAACGTATGAATTTGATTTAACGTTATACTAAGAGTAAGCCCAAGCTCTTCTACCACACTCCTGAAATATTCAATATCAACTGTCAACTGCCGTGCCATCGCAGTATTTAAGTTTTTTATTTGCAATATTTGTGTTTGGTATAAGACGGAACATTGTGTGACGACCAAACTTAACAAAATGTCGGCACTGGGAATAGGTTGGCTGTAGTTGATATTACACATTTCTAAAGCTTGTTTTAGAATAGGAGAGGGAGCTAAAAGAAGTGGTTCTAAGTGTTGAGGCAAAGTCAATAAATATTGACCAATTTGTGTTATTGATTCCTGAGGCGCAAAACTAAAAGCCGGCATGTCTTCTACATGGCTTTGATTTAAATCTGTGGGTGGCTGTATGCAGCATAAATGCGTTTCCAGTGGATGCAAGAGGATATTTAAAGTAACGTCATGAATTTCTTTAAAGTAAAGTTTAAAAGAATCATAAATGTTGTTGAAAATACCCAAATATATAATTTGATTATCTTGGCTTGGTTCCAAACGTTTCTGTTGAAATTCATTTATACTAGCCAAAAGTCTTTGCTGCTCCACACTTTCAAATGTCTGATAAAAATTTATTGAAGTTTGCTGTGAATGTCGAAGGTTTTGCTCCAAAACATTTAAACGTTCATGTAGAACTTTTTCAAAATTTTGCAATCTTTGCTGAAAATCGGCTAAACATTCCAGCAGACCTAATGTGTACTGTAATAATGACCAACTACACTCCGAATTTGCTCCAGCATGAAGTGTTAGTTGACGTTGTATCTTGGCAAATTGGTCTAATATACGCTTAAATATTCCAGCAAACAAATTAATAAGCTTACACAATGCCAAATCTCCACTTATATTTGAACATCTAACTAAAGCCTCCGTCAGCCAATCAAACGTCTTATTAATCGCATCCTTTAAATGACGCACCGCATCGCTGATGTGCGTTTGTGCTTGTGTTATTAAAGTACGATCAATTTGCCTTGATAACAGCGTCTCCTCGAGGCGCGGATATTGCTCTATAAATTTGTAAAAATATTCATAGATTGCCTGTCCCAAATTCTGTCTTAATTCTTTTTTCAGTTGTATGCATGCTTGGTTTAGATAGGCATTTAATTGCATTACAAATGTATGGTTATCTTGAGCGTAACGTTGTAACAACTCTAGGCGTTCATTGCATGATCTGAGTAGTTGTAGAATATGATTATATCTGGTTGGTTGCAGAGCAGGTAAAAGTTCTACTAACACAAGAAAAGGCTGCTTCTGAGCTTCTTGATCTTCGAAAACTTGAAAGCACCATTTTACTTGTGCTTGAAAGTTCTCCATCAAATGATCGTAAAATAAAGCAAGAAACTGCTGTTGTTGTGTGATAGATTCAGTAGCCTGCAATTCCAAAGTCTGCTTCCATTGCTGTTGCAGAGCGGTCTTCTGCACAGCTCGATAATACTGAACAAGCTGAGATTTTCTATGAATAGCATCAAATATAGTAACATAATGTTGAGCTTGCTTCACGTTACCCTCGGCAAAACACTGCACAACTTTGGGAGAAGCTAAGGCTTCTAAACGATTTTTGAAATCCTCGACTTGAGATTGACGTTCGCTATGACCTGGCAATTGTTCTTGAGCTAGCAAACTCTTCTGCAAAGCCACTATTTTATCGCAAATCCCCTGAAATCGACGTCGTTTTTTATCCATAATGAACTAAAATTGACGCAGAAAAAAAACAATCGTTTACCTTTACGTCGTTACGCTCAAAACCATCTTCGAGGCTGGCTATTAAATTACCCCAACCGTCAGATTCTTGTAATGACTCCTTCGCATTTTGAACCTTGATTTGCATAGAATTCAAATGGTCCAAAGTAGTCATACATTCACCCGTCTCCTTCTGAACAGCGGCTACCTCTTGATGCATTAAAAGCATGCGTTGCTGTAAACGCTGAACACCCGCTTTCAATGACCTGGCCTCTTCCACAATACGTGGCATAGTGGAAACTAATCGGTGGCTACTTTCCTCTAAAGCATAGTTTACTTGTTGCACGTATAATTGCAATTTGGAAACGTAGTTGTTAATAAAATCGATGGCTCTTTCATGGTCGATCAAAGATTTTTTTTGATCCTCTTTACTTAAAACCTTATTTTCTTCCACATATTTTTGGAAATTTTCATTAATCCATTGCACAGGATTAAATTTATCCTCCGACAAAGCAATCATATCCATTATTTCAACAAAATTCCTTTATAAGATCTGCAATTTAACAAACGTTTTCTCTTATGATTTCAATAACCTTACTCTTTTTCTTCTTTTAGTGGCTAGCTCCGGGTGCAACAATATCAGAAGCACAAACACAATGAAGTCAGTCGAACATGTAGCTGACAGACTCGTATGTGTTGTTAAAGAAAAATCATACGGACAGTATTTGTTTACATCAATGTTGATGAAGTGCAAAGTTAGTAAAACAAAAAATTTCTTTGAGAAATAGCCCTTTTAAAGAAACAAAAAAAAATTTGTTTTTTTGATAAGAATACAACTTACTTAAATATACATATTTTTTTTTGTTAAAGAAAAATGTGAAGGACTACTTGAAAATCATAATGTGCTTGAAACATCAACCATACAATTATGTCCTGTTTTCGCGAAAACACAACACTGTTTAGTTTGGTTGTCAAAAGCCCTGCACGCCGAAATTTAAAGAAATTGTGTTCGCGCACAACGCAACGCAAGTTGTATGTTTATATAAACATAAACGCGTAGTATTTTGCTTTATTTCGTATTTTGGTTTAGAAAATCATTTTGTAAAGAGCTTTTTTTATGTTAGCAATCGATAGACATATGATTTTGATTTGCCAACAGCTTCATAGTTCAATTATTGTGTTCTGCACACTAATCGTTTCTTGATACGACGATAAACTAAAAAAAGTTTACTATGTACAATTCTGTGTAGAAATTATGCACAATCCCAACAAGATGCGCTCTCTCATATTTATCAAATCTTGCGAAAGCTAAATAACTGACATTTTCCGTTAGTATTGGTTGTCCACAGATAGTACTCGTTGCTAAGACATGCGTAAAAAAGAAAAAACAGGTATAATGAAAAGAAAACGAAATCCAAAAAAAAATTGTTCTGCAAACAGCGGAACCAAACAAAAAACTTTAAATGATAAATCTTAAGGTTGAAAAAAAAAGTATATGTGATAACATAAAGCTTTCTTTATAAAACGCTTTTTAATAGACCGTCATTCTTCAATGTAACAAAAATAAGATTTCATTTGCAATTCACTTTAAAGCACTACGTAATATATTCAGATAAATTCATTCATATTATACTTGACAATAACCCTTAATTACTTTATTAATGAAGACAGTGAAAAAGAAAAGTATGTTTAACATGTTACTAATGCATGCAGGAAAAAAAAGTAGATCTGACAGCTAATTCATAGACGCTTTGACACATAGTTGTTACGCTGATGTATACTTATAGTAGGTTTTCTAACATATACATATGTTGATAGATTCTTATAATGCATTCTAGAAATTTTCAATTGGTGAGTCTTACATTTTCAACAAAATTTTTAAACTGCTTCACATGAATTGACTTGGTAAACATGTCAGTCAATTAGTCTACAGTTGTTATATGTTCAAGCTGAATGTCACCAGCAGATTTGTTATCTTTCACGAAATGACATGAAATATCGATATTAATACGTTTAGTTTTAAGTTTGCCGTACGAATACATGCTCTCTTATCCTTATATAACGTAATTAGTTCACTAGTTCATTGTAAAATTTCCTCTAGGAGGTTTTCCACTTCGCCTCTAGTCGCATTATCATTACGATCTACAATATTGTCTGGGACAAAATTGTTTTGCATTTCAATATATGAATAATTAATTTCTTCTAAATAGTCAGCTTGACATTCAGCATCGCGTTTTATAACTGAACCTTTTTGTTGACTACCCGTACTATCTTTCAATTCTTTTATTAGCGTTATGTTATGCTCTTGTTTAATACCCAATTTTTTACTTAATTCTTGAATGAAGCAATGCATATCAGCGATGCGGCCATTCATCAGCAACACTTATAATTCCGTAATTGCTTTAAGTCTCAACAACGATCATTTTTGGGTGGAGCGGCAACGATTTCCATACCATTATGATATTAAGTACTTATCGTAAGGAAGAATTAGATTCTTCGTCAGATTCGTCGTTCAGGTTCCGCAAAGAGAATTATCTTAAGTAAATAATTTGGTGCTCATTTGCTTATGAAAAAAAACAAATTTCTAATATTAAGATATGTCGGATAATCGGAATGTCTGCATCGAAAACTTCGATATACTATCATATCGCCACTTGTTGAAGTTGTACCTATCTCATTTATTTATAACTTAAAATTTTTTGTTAGAACTATAATCTAATTTGCCATATACATATCATCTGCATGACATGAGCAGCACAAGAAGTCATTTAATTAATCTTAATTTTTTAAGCTCCTCCTTCATAAGCAAGTAACGGCTGCTGTAACCAATGTTGGTTCTCAAAAAGTGATAATTCAATGCTTCAGGGTGTAACGGGTTTTGTTGGATGGGGTATAACTCAGCCACTCCAAGGTTCGTTGCAAGAATAGTTATTTGGAATAAAATTTACCTTCGGTACTGATGTTCAATGTCTTTATTTCGTATTCACAGGAGTGCAGCGTTGTGTAGAGGTTGGCGAGGAAAAGAAACCAGCGGGTCACCTCGCTGGTTTCTTTTCTTTCTTTTTCTGTACGCGTAGTTGGAGCTTTTTCATTCGCTTTTTTTTCGATGTCGCGGAACACTACAAAAAAAAAAAGAAACCGGATACGTTGCCAGTGTCATAGCTGCCTTGGTTTGTCTCCGGGTGGGTATTCGTATGTAAACACAAAAAAAAGATGGTCCTCAGTCCTTCAGGGATGACGACTAACAACTAGCCAGTATATCCCCCATCCGTAAAGTCAAAAAAAGAATAGACTTGTCATATTGTCCGTACCCACTTACCTTCTAAACTAAACTGAACGATTCTGTGCGATGTGCTGCTCAAGCCGCTATTGTTTTTAGCTTAGCAAATAATCGGTAGACACGCATAATAAATGTACATCAAATCTCAGTAAATTTATTGGTATCATTGTCATGATAACGTAAATTAAAACCTAAATTTATTCATATCATTGTCATTATTTGCCTTTTTGTTAAGAAAGGAAGGTGTCATTTGAGACATAGTAAGAGGTATTTAAAAAAAAGATCCATTAGAGGTTCCAATGTTATTAAGCTTATCGGTGTGACTGACATCGACATTAAAGTTGCATTGAGAGTCATGCTAAATAATTGTACTAAAACTTAGTATATTTTGTGTTTGAATTTTACAAATTATTGAGTTATCTAAGTAAATTTCGGTAAATTCAATTAATTTGGATTGTGCTTTTAGTATTTCTTATAACTAATTTATGTATTATACGTACGCGATGAAAACTTGATTTTTTATTCCTTTATACATTTACGTTATTTTTTCGGAGGCCAAATAGTCTAGAACTAATTTTAAAGTAAAAATTTTCATTTTCACTCAATTAGTTTGTTCGGTTTGTACCTATGTTAAGTTAGCATTAACCAAATCTTATATTTATTTATATATATGTATTATTTGTTTAAATTTAGCTCTTAAAAATTATTTCTTCCTGTAATGACGGTGCCAATTTTACGTGAAAAAGGTTTTGAAATTAAAGCTCTTTGGGGACGAACCGTAAAAGAAGCGGAAGAGTTTTCATCATCCCAAAATATCGCTTTTTTTACCAACAAAATTGATGATGTTTTATTACGAAAAGACGTGGATTTAGTGTTTGTTATTATTTGTTATTATTATGACCTTTTTAATATTGGCTTGTGCTGTGCCACAACCGAAGATTTTTTATCCCTTCTTTGTTTTAATATTCTACGTACTTTCCGTGATACCAATGATGCTGGCGAAACGCTTGTCACCCGGTTCTGAAACAAATCCAAAAACCGAGTTCGCGTTGTTCCTAACCTCGGGAATGGTTCATAGTTTCAATTGTGGAAATCAAATAAGAAGATGACTTAAAGAACACTGCAATTCCTCTAGGAACTGCTGATGAAAAAAAAAAGGGGAATACAAAGCCGTAAAATATTGAGAATGTTGAGCTGCCACGCCCATAACAGCCCCGTTGGGTCCGCGGAATACAATTGGGACATTGATCTGCCCCCCCGACATGTAGAACGTTTTAGCCGCTGAATTAATAACCTTGCATCAAATTGTTTAAAGATATAAAAATCGTAAAGTATTTAGAGATCTCAATTACAACCGTGCAATAATATATTTTTTTTTTTTCAGACGAAGGAACATATTGTGGAAAAGTATGGCGGTGAAGAACATTGAAGAACATTTGCAAGCACCACCTAAAACGCTAAATCGCTACTGTTGGCCCAAACCGAAGATTATATAGAATATTCGTGTAGCGGCAAAAGAATGGAAAAACCAAAAGCTCGTAGTATATAAGGATATTATCTTAGTAATATATAAACTGGGATTATTTGGGAAAAATGAAAATCTCATATTAATCTATTGTTAATTATTTTGAAAAATTGAAAAATTTGATGTTAATTCTTTCCATATATTCACACAAGTGCTTGAAATATAATATATAATCTTTTTTATATAAATGTATCAAAAATATGCATTCATCTCCCCTTGTACGTCTCCTGAATAGTTTTATACAATTTTTATAGGCGTGGCATTCGATTTTACCCTATTTTCAAAAAAAAATGAATATTCTCTTTCCATATATATTCACAGAAATGGTTTGGTTGAAATGTAATATATAATCTTTTTTATATAAATGTATCAAAAATATGCATTCATATCCCCTTGTACATCTCCTGAATAGTTTTATACAATTTTTATAGGCGTGGCATTCGATTTTATCCTATTTTCAAAAAAAAAATGAATATTCTCTTTCCATATATATTCACAGAAATGGTTTGGTTGAAATGTAATATATAATCTTTTTTATATAAATGTATCAAAAATATGCATTCATCTCCCCTTGTACGTCTCCTGAATAGTTTTATACAATTTTTATAGGCGTGGCATTCGATTTTACCCTATTTTCAAAAAAAAATGAATATTCTCTTTCCATATATATTCAAACCATTTGTTTCAAACCATTTATATATATATTCAAACCATATATATTCAAACCATTTATATTCAAACCAAAGCGCAGAATAGGTATGAATAAGAGCTGTCCGACACAACCCATGTTTGAATATATATGGAAAGAGAATATTCATTTTTTTTTTTTGAAAATAGGATAAAATCGAATGCCACGCCTATAAAAATTGTATAAAACTATTCAGGAGACGTACAAGGGGAGATGAATGCATATTTTTGATACATTTATATAAAAAAGATTATATATTACATTTCAACCAAACCATTTGTTTGAAT